GCGTCAGGCTTGAGAATTTGTTGTGCCCCCCCCCCCCTTCCCCCCCGTGCAACATTCGCTGCTGTTCGCAGACACTTCCCCTCACTGTTTTTATAGTTTGTCAGCCTATCAGGGAGCTGGGAGAGATGCACCCACCCCTTTTTCTTTACTTCTTTGGCCTACAGAGGACGCTGGTAGTGAGAACATCATGTACTGATAACTGTGCCAAAACAAAACCCACATAGAGAGGAAGGAGGGGTGTTGGGTGAGGGTTGTGACCCATGGTGTTTACATTGCTTTGTTCTCTTTTTCTCTCTGTACAGTTGTAGCTCTTTTTCCTATGCAAGTGGGGTGTGAACTTGTGAGTACATATCTTAACTCCTGGGGACTTCCTTTTTTCAGCTTTTATACATAATGCTTATTTCCTAATTTTTTTAGAGCAAAACACAGAAGTTTTTCTTTTGTCAAGTGTTGGAAAAGTAGATCAAATTTGGTTTGGTAATGTCTTGGCCCACATTCCATTAATCTCTTTGGGACACTGTATGTAAACACTAAGCTTGTTTTGTTTTACTTCAAATTAATCTCCATTTGAAACAAAGTGGTGACAGTTAAAGGCTGATTCTTCTCAGAGCAAGTGTCCATATCATAGTAATTCATAGTTCAGAAGGACCAGAGCACAGATTGTGTCATGTGACCGTGATCTGTTAGTATTGTTTATGGCATGGTTTGGTAGATCCCTTGGGAATTTGTAGTTCTGGGGGAGGGAAACACAAGGGACAGCAGTTACTAGAGGTCATCTGGGAGTCTGAGAGGGTTCAGACTACTCCTGCCAGATGTCCTGTCTCCCCCCTTTGGGAGGGGGGTGGGTTGCATAAGTGGGCTCCTTGTGTTGCAATTGCAACAAAAGGCTCTGCACTGAGGATGAGCAAAGATCTGTGCACTGCATGCCTCTCTAAGGGTTCCCAACAAATCCCTCTTCTTTAAAGTAGTATTTTCACAAGCCTGGAATGGGTGTCTGAACATGCAGTGTGACTTGTTTTGCAGCAGGCTGCAGTGATGGAGATTAGGGATTTGGATAAATGACCTTAAATCTACCACCTAATAAATTGTCCACCCATTTGCGTTAATGCATTTGTCAATTATGTTTTGCAGTTTTAAAAAAAAAATCTGTACATGTCATAATCAGGGTGGGAGGTTTGTGTTGTGATGAGGAGAAATTGAGCTGATTCAGGGGCTCTTTGTGCTGCTGACTCGGACCAGAACAGTGCAAAGGATTTGGGCTGCTCGTAGGCCTCTTGTCTGTGCATTAATCCTAGATGGACACAGCAACTGTGGCCCCATCAGGCTTCAATAGCAGCTGTAATCCATCTACCAGGATGAGAAACATACACTGCCTCTTAAACAGACAACCAACTAGGGCTAGAAAATTAAGGCCTTTTGCTTTGGTGTCAGCAGTCTAGTTCTCTCTCTCTCTCTCTCTCTGACAGGGCAGCATGAAGCTGATGGCCCATCAGTGGTTTAGATCAAGTCAGAACAAGGTCATATTTAGAGGAAAAATTCTTATTGGAAACAATTTTGGATTAGCTCATGGAAAGTTTCAAAGGAATATTTGTGGTTCCTTAAGGCAATTTAAGATTTAAATATGGGTCACAAAGTCTAAACATAGAGACACTACAACTTGTTTTGTTCCCAGTCTGTGCTGTCCCTGCTTTGTAGGCAGCAGTAAAAGTAGGTTGAACTGTTTTACAGCTGGCAAGGTGGTTGGCAAGCAGTAAAATGTGGGTCTGGATCTATAGCACTGTATGTGGAACCTGTGCTATACAGTAAACACAGCCACCGGTGAAGTTTTGTGGTTCATTGTGAGGTGGTGGCCTTCACCCAGTGTTTAATGTATAGTTAAATGTGCCAAACACTTAACTAATATTTCAGATATTCTTTAGTCATCCGGCACTTACGGAATTGTCCTCCAACCCAGTGCTATGGAAAACACAAAAATCACAGGCTCATTTGTTTAGTGGGCTATGTTTAGATAACATGGGTCAACTGTTGTGATGTTCTGTTTCAGATCATTGAGAAAAGACCAGGTCACAGTCGCAGCCGAGTCTTCCGTGAGGTTGAAATGCTCTACCAGTGCCAGGGCCACAGGTAATATAATATCATGCCACTAGGTGAATTTTGACACAGTACCACAGACTTAGTGACCCATTTTTTGTTGTATCGTATTCTGTCCTCAGTCCTCCTATACTGTAGTGCAGAAATGAAATCGTTTTCAGTCGGCAAGTGCTAGATATTGTTACCACTTGCTTATATTGCCTTTATTTCTGAAGGAACATCTTGGAGCTGGTGGAGTTCTTTGAAGAGGAGGACAAATTCTACCTGGTGTTTGAAAAGCTCAGAGGAGGTTAGTGAGTTGTAGCTGCTGCAGTATGCCTGCCCCAAATTCTTTTTTTTTTTTATTAAAAACTTTTTTGCATGCATGTCAATAACCTCAAGCCACTTATTTGTATGTGCTTTTTGCATATAAATATAACTGAAGTACTTTCCCTCCCCCCCAAAATCAGGGTCAATCTTGGCACACATTCACAAGAGACGGCACTTTAGTGAACAGGAAGCCAGTGTTGTCGTGCAGGACATTGCCAGCGCTCTAGATTTCCTGCATAACAAGGGTAAGATCACTTGTACAAAACAGTGAATTGTTTATTGCTCATTCTCAGCAAAAAGGCATAACCTCAAGAGTATATGTGAACCATAGTATGGGTTTTTGTACAGTATTTGGGAATGTGTCCTGCTCTTTACTGTAAATAAAATTCAGCATATTTGCATCATTTCTTGTCACACTTCTTTTAAGTGGGAAAAATTACTTTGTCATTGTTTTGGTAATTGTTGCTATGTAAAAGAAATTTTTCCTTGGTTCCGTAAAGTGACCAGATCTTGCTAACAAAGAAAATTGATTGTATTCTTTCTAGGAATGGCACACAGAGACCTGAAACCTGAAAATATTCTCTGTGAGAGTGCAGACAAGGTGAGTTTTCTGCAAACATGTTGGAGCCCAATTAGTTCAAAGGGCAACTATTGTAGTGATAACGTAGTGATAATTTAGTCAGTTTGTGATAACATCATTATTGGTAAATGACAGTGGAAATCTGTTTCCACAAGTAGGTGTTTCATACAAATTATAAGATATGAGAATGGATTAAATACAGATACAATTTAATGGTTATGAACTTATGACTTTGCTAGATTTCCCCAGTCAAGATCTGTGACTTTGACTTGGGCAGTGGGATCAAGCTGAACAGTGACAGCTCACCCATCTCCACCCCTGAGCTCCTCACTCCTGTAAGTTAAACTGATTATTGTGCTTGTCTTATTTGCTAAGCGGTTGTATCCACTCTCATAAATAGGATAACATTGCTACTTAAGGGAAATGTGTGTGCATGAGAACAGCTATTCAAAGCTTGAAAAAGGCTGATCTGTACTATGCTTTTGGTTACATATACCTATAAAGAGATTTGTGTTTTTTTTTTTTGCTGTAGATAACTAGGGTGTTTTCAGGCTATAAAACAAAGTCTTTATCAAGTCTAGCTGGCTGGTTGTCCATTGGGCAGTCCTCATTGGTGTTAGCTGTAGGATAGCTTTCTGATTGGAAGGGAGAAACACTGCGCCTAAGGTTAAGGCAGTTCACTGTTGGGCGGTTTCTCTGAAATTATGACATGTTTTGCTTTCTGACTGTCCCTGCCTGGTACCTTCACTTATCGCGCTGAAGTATCAGCAACACTGGGATCAATGTCCCTCAGGTTAATGTCCATAACCTGTTTATTATCTGTGGCAAATATTAAGGTCCATTTGTTTTAGGTAGTGCCCAGAAAACCGGGATAAATCCAACCTCAGATAAATAGTAAAGGCGAACAGTTAAGTTTTTTTTTTTTTTTTTTAACTTGTCATCTGAAACTGCCTCTTGGAGCAGGGGAAGGCCAGGGGTTAAGC